TGTGATCCTAACAAACAGTTGGTCTGAACCAAATCCAGCAGCACAGATGTGACAGGCTTTGGGGCAAAATTAGAGCCTGTTTGGAAAACCGAGTGTGATTTGCTTGGAATTAGCTTTCTTTTGAGCGGATAGATTACTCTGGTGAAGTGGAAGATGGAGACAGGTGTTGGTGAATGGTTTCTGCAAGATTGTATCTGGCTAAGCCTAAGGGCAAAATAAACTGCTGGTGCTTCTCTAAACCATGATTTCCTCTCGCAATGGTTCTCATTTGGCAGTTTTAATACACTAGAGAAGTTATTCTGTCAAACTGTGTCCCATCTGAGCAGAAAGTTTAGATTGTTGATAGGGAGTTTTTAAAAGCACTGTGAAAGACCTCTCACCTTTTACTAGTTAGAAATGTGTTAGACAAAAGCTATCGATGGACTACTTGCAAAGTGGATTAGAACCCAGTGCTTATTATGCTATGTTCCTGCACATATGCAGTGGGTTTTGATGCACTTAAATCTAGTAGGTACAAGCCCCACAAATCTATAAAGTTGCTATAAGGAATACAAACACTTTTATGAAAGCTTTTTAGTCAGTGTTTCATTGAAACAGGCATAATATGCAATTATATTTTGCTGATTGGCCATCCTTCATAACGATCGTTTTGTCACATTACACAGCTTGTTCCACTGTCCTTATTAAAGTTCTTTGATTGCTTGTTTTAAAGAATGATTTGACCATCAGATTGAAAAAAAGAGTTTTGTATGCGGAAGACCAGTCTAGTTATAAGTCACATTAATTTTCAGTTTTTAGTGCTGGGAGAGCTGGGTGAAGACAGAAATAGTCTGACACCTGAGGTGGTGAATGCATCTCTATAAGTGGTTTGATTTGCAGACAATTTTATTTGGTCTTTTTCTAGGCAATTCTCACTTGTTGCAGGAAGAAATGGATTTTCTTTTGCAGAGAAAGTGAAGGTTTCTGTGGCCTATTGAACTTCTTTTCTTTGCCTACTCTCTCTCTCTCTCTCTCTCTCTCTCTCTCTCTCTCTGTGTGTGTGTGTGTGTGTGTGTGTTCCTATTGCACTAAGGGCAGGAAAGAGGTAAGACCTCGCCTCTAAAAATATAGCCAGTTTTATTTAATTAAAACCAAAGCTTGGATGCCTCACTTTAGCAAAAAGGGTTAGTATAATTTACTGCAGGCTATGAGACATACAATTTATGGCAAGCTTGAGGTTTCACTAAATTGATTGCCTTGTCTTGCTTTCTTGCTCCTCTTGGCATTTGGGTGTTCTGCAGAAATAATTATCCCTCCTTCGCTCTGCTCTAACTGCATCTATTTTATAGCTGCTCCATCTTTGGGAGAGGGTGCTTTGCTGGTTCTGCTAGCTTTATGTCACCCTAAGAAATGTAAATAGGTGTTTATGGGTTGTGAATTATTCACTTCAGTGGAGAGTGGTTTATTCTAACCTGCCCCAGTTTGCTGGGGGTGGGGGATACACAAGAAAACGTTGACCATTTTAACATGACTATATGTGTGTGTGTGTGTGTGTGTGTGTGTGTGTGTGTGTTTGTGTTTGTATCTATTTAAATATCTCCTTTGCACACTCCACCAAATTGGCAAACATTGGAGCTGTATTCTCCTTCCCTCTCCTTCCCAATATCTCTTGTAACACAGGGATGTGTGCAAAATATGCTGTTTCTCACTTACTGTCTATCCATGGAACTCAGGGTGTCTGGCAAGATTGTGCTGGCCAAAGCACCCCAACCCCAAGACCTTTCTTTATCTCCCTGCCTGTGGATGATAGAGCTTATTTATTAGGAGGTGTGACTTCAGCACAGGCAATTGCTGACTATAGCTGCCCCTAAGGGCAATTGCTCTCAGTCACATACATATTGTTATGTTACTACTGGTAGAGTTACTCATTGGTGATGGTGTCCCTGACTTAGCCTGCTTCACACCCTCATTGAGTGTCTGCCTAGCTGGACTGCATCCTGGAACTCTCTTTGGTTTATGTAATTTGGACAGGCCCTTGTATCTCTCTCCTGTCAGATCTTTGGGTTTTTGGGTTTGGTGTGTGTGTGTCGGTAAACGAGGGGAATTAAGACTAAGAGAGCTGAGTGGGGGGTGCTCATGTAATCTCACTGTATACAAGTTGTACAAGTGACAATAAAGTATTTCAGTTTAAATTTCATTGGTATGATATCCTTACTGTCCTACATTTTTTTTAAAATTAAAGACCATGGGATTACCCCCTAAAAGTATTTAATTCAGGGTTTTTTTTAGAGAGTTTCTTCGAAAAATGTCAGAGGGATATTTTTCTGAATGCTTTATTACAAATATACTAGATGAGAAAATGGCACTGACACTCATGTGCTTTGAAGAGAGACTTTGCAGGTGGTCCTGGAAAACAAGCAGGTCATTACTTTTTTTACAGGGGTTATGAGTTACATGCACTTGATATTAGTTTCCCCCTCCTCTTTTGCTATGGATCAAAAGTCATTCAGAGTAGTGTGTGCCTTTCAAGTTCAAAAAGAATGACCTCAGCAAGAACAGCAGAAATTGCCTCCATGGGCTTATAGCATTTCTATGACACAGTTACAAGGTCTTTTTTTCTTCTTAGATTGACACTCTCTCATTTTTATGCTGAATCAGAAATAATTCAACAGGTGTTTCCTATGCTGTGATGAGGAAAGACTTGCTTCCTGAATGTCTGTTTCTTGCAACAATGAAAAGCAAAGAGCTCTTGCTAGAAGAAAATGGTGGCTTGCAATCCTAAAAAAAAAAAAAAGAATGGCATGTGTATATTTATTGTTTGAACAGAAATCTGTCAGAAAGATAGCACCTGCTTTAGTGTTTCATCACTGTAAGTACGTTAGATTAATTTTTGTTTCAATGCATGCCTTGCTGAAAATGTTACTGCACCCCAGTGGCAAATAATTGTGGCTCCTAAACTAGATGCCTAAAGAGAAAATGAAGATGGATCTTCACACACAGTGATATTGGTGGGTAGGGGCTGCATAGGGATTCTTTGGAAATGGGACTTTCAGTTGTCTAATATTTCATTATCAGTTTAATGCAGTGTTGTGCAATGGAGCACACTGTATTTGTTCCTAAACCAGGGGTCTGCAACCCGTGGCTCCGGAGCCGCATGTGGCTCTTTTACACCTTTGCCGCGGCTCCGGGGCGGATACTAGCGAGGAGAGGAGGTGCATTGTGCACCCCGACATTCCCCACTGTGGCGGGCGCTGTGCTGGCTGTGACATCGCATGGGGGCGGTCCCGACGTCACCTTCCCGCCCGCCCGTCCGCTACATTGTAAGGGGCATGTACGCTGGTCACTGTTTTGAAGGGGAGTGAAGAACACACACACACAAAAAGGTAACTTGTTAATTTAACGTTTATTTCTATGAGGAGGAGTAATTCTGAGGGGTCAAACAAAGAAATAATAAAAAAGTGACAAAAAAGTTATTTTTATAATGACGAGTTTTGCGGCTCCCAGTTTTTTTTTCTTCGGAAACGGGTCCAAGTGGCTCTTTTTGTCTTAAAGGTTGCAGACCCCTGTCCTAAACCATTCTGATGTTTTATTTAATCTGGGAATTTTTTTTTACAAAATTCCCTTGCTACAAGGGCTGCACCACAATTTATTTATTTTTAACCAAAGGTGTCTTTTCCATGCTTACCGAAGCCACTGAGGAGATGTCTAGCGCATATATAGTTGACAGTTATGAAAATTAATAAATAATAATGTAGACAAGAAATAAAATATGGATGAACCTGGGTTGTATAGGCCTTTTGTTCTTTGAAGATAAGGAAATCACCAGTCTAGAACTTTAACAGAATATTCTCTTTAAGGCATATATGTTCATTCAAGCACTTAACACCATTTTCTACTTCTGAGGTAGACTTGGAGAGCCACTTCCAGAGAGAGAGAAACTGTGGATCTCATTTTAGTGTTTTAAAAGCTAACCAAATTTGGTGGGAATTCAAACTTTACTAGAACTTAAATAAAGTAATGGAAGCAAAGATCTCCTCAGAGCTATTTTGGGCTCTGTTCATCTATGAAATATTTATATTTTGGCTGTGGTTTGTTTAATAAATTTTTTATTGCTCCAGTGCAATTCCCTGCTTTTTTCTCAATGACCTCCACCCTTTTGCTTAAGTACTGCTGAATGTTATATTTCAGAGTTCCTCTCTTCTCTAAATTACCAATATCCAACTGCTCCATACCATCCATGGGAGGAACGATGAGTCAGAACCTGCTAAATCTGTTCTGAGAATTGCATCAATCAGATTAACTTTCATTTCTACTCTAAATTTGCTCTCAGATTTACATTCCTTATGTGACCTTCCTTCCCACACTGGCCTGGAAATCTTAGCTCAGGGGTTGTCAACCTGGTCCCTACCGCCCACTAGTGGGCATTTCAGGATTCTAGGTGGGCGATAGGGGGTTTTATGGCACAATCTGAATCTTCCTTCCATTGAGCACTGGTGGGCGGTAATGAAATCTTACCATCAAGAAAGATACATTAGTGGGTGGTAGGTATAAAAAAGCTGACTACCCCTGCCTTAGGGACGCGGGTAGCGCTGTGGGTTAAACCACAGAGCCTAGGACTTGCTGATCAGAAGGTTGGCCATTCGAATCTCCGTGACAGAGTGAGCTCCCGTTGCTCAGTCCCTGCTCCTGTCAACCTAGCAGTTCGAAAGCACGTCAAAGTGCAAGTAGATAAATAGGTACTTCTCCGGCGGGAAGGTAAACGGCATTTCCGTGCGCTGCTCTGGTTTGCCAGAAGCAGCTTAGTCATGCTGGCCACATGACCCGGAAGCTGTACTCCAGCTCCCTTGGCCAATAAAGCGAGATGAGCGGCGCACCCCCAGAGTCAGCCACAACTGGACCTAATGGTCAGGGGTCCCTTTACCTTTACCTTTACCTTTACCCCTGTCTTAGACTATTACTGCATGTTATAGTTGTGTCTGCCGATGAAAGCAATGGCACTGCATTTCCTTCTTCTCTCTCACCCAGTAATGCAAAACACAGGAAGTGACCTCATTGCATTCTCCTTCATTGGCTGCTATTTGTGGGGATGGTGAAACGTGCATTGAGGTGATGTCATATTGCTACAGGAAGAAGAGGAGAAGGAGATGAAATATATTCAGCACCAGCCATAACTTCTGATTCTTGTCTTAAGACTGCAAATTCCTAGGAATAGCTGAGAGGCTGAAATTTTGTTGCATGGACAGTGGAGTAGTCTGTGGCGAGGATGATGACTGCTGAGTTAAGTCCCTCCTGAATTATGTCCCAAGTAATCGGGGATCCATGCAATACCTTTTATGCTTCAGTTTCTTTGCCCAGACTTGACACTAAACTTGGATGGGTGCCGCCTTGTTGCATAGTCACCCTGGCACAACGCAATGGCTACACTGTAATCAATCCTATTCTCTTCTTACACGCACCTAAAACTGACAGTCCTCTATTTGCAGAAAAAAATCTGTCTATGGGTCCTACAAGATAGAAACAAGGCTTCAGCTTATGACAAGTTGGCACACCCCTACGAAACAGCTTATTCAGTAACCAGTGTACTGGCACATGGTGGATTCTTGCATATGGTGATGGAAGAGCCTTCCAATAATGATATGCTCATATTCTCATTTTGTGTGTTTCAGTGAATTAGCCCTGTTAACACTTGTTTAGGCTTAATAAAAACAATTTTAGTTAAAGCACTGAGACTAGGTTGCCATCTGCTATGTGAAAATGCCAATTTTAAATGATCAACAGTAGGAAGAAGAATGACTTTCATATTGCTGCACTTTGAGGGGAAGGGGAAAAAACTTCAAATACGCATATCACTAATTGATTCCAGCACCTATCAGACTGCAGGGCCTCATTAGCATAGCATATTTTTTGTGTTGCGCTTTCAGGTATAATCTATAGATTTCCCAGTGATTGATATTCTATCATCTTGAAGGTGCTACTGTACTTTGTGACAACAGCATAATCTCAAATAATTCTGTAAAACTGGCCTTGGCTAAGGTTCTTCATTGTACGTAATATTTAATTGCATGTCTAGGAGGGAGAAAAACATGGTACAAGAGAACTTTTTTTATATTAAAAAATGCAAATCTGCATCTGTTATAAAGAACACTTATGCTTAATTATTTGGAGTGCCTGTAGTATATGTGATGCATAGTTAATGGCTGCAGAATGAATGATTGAATGTGACTTATTCATGACCAGAATGTTTGCACTCTAATGAAGGAGATGAGGAAGGGAAGGGGGGAAGCGGCTGCATCTGAAGGCTTAAAGAGCTGTCTTTCTCCTTGCAGTTGGTTACATCTGCTTTACTCAAATTATGTTCAAGGTTATGCAGTCATTTCAAAACAAGGCTCGGACTTCATGCTTTGAATGGCTTGTACAATCTTCATTTATTAGTGTACAACCACTCTGGTCATGATTAGATCACACTTGTTTAAGCATTTGTTCAACGGGCGTTTGTTTTGTTTTGAAACCGAAATGCTCGCAAGGTTATTTTCTCCACTTGATGAGACTTAAGCAACCAGAGGGAAAGCAGCCCTATTTCAGAAAAATCATGTTTACATGGAAGAAAACATGTTTGGTTCTAACTTGGGGCATCAGCAGGAATATGAATGACATTTTAATAAAATAACCTTTTTGTCTTTCTTTGACAACTAATTATATCTTGGTGAGAGGAATGTAACACCGCTTGGCTTTTTGAGTGCTTAATGCAAATACCTTCTCAGTCACCATTACAGCAATTCTGTAGGAAGGCTAGCACTATTATCTCTCATCTACAGACTCAGAGACAATAGCACAATATTTTGCATTCATATTTGAATATTTATAGCTGTTTTTTAATCCAATGATTTCAAGATGCCCTGCAGGGTTGTTGTTTTTTTAAGAGTTGAAACAAAGCTCTTTCTAGTAGGCATATGAATCGGGGCTGAGGAATGGTGGTGTTGAGAAGCTCTCCTTACTGTGTGGCTAATGGTTTGGGACAGGTTGGCCTCCCCTTTGCCATGGTGGTCTTCTTTGGAGGAAGGGGGTCCTGGCAAATAACTGAGTTTAGGATCCTCCCTCCCAAAATTAAGAATATTGGGGTCCTTCCAGAGTGGTGTTTTGTTATGGGAGGTTTTTGGAACATGCTCTTGACACAGCAATAGTGCATTAGAGGTAGGATTTCAAGAAGTAAAAGTCGGTGAAATTCTGGATGTATGGCAACTCTAGTGGTGGATTTTGTCTTAGTTGTTCTGCAATGCTTCCCCAATACTACCATATTATTCTTACATCAGACTACAGCAGAATAGAAACAGGAATGGAGGAAAAGAGGAATATTTGTGGTATGAATTTAAGCAGGAAGTTACAAGTTATGCACTGATTGCAAATGATGAGCACAAATCATCATGACTGCACAATAAAAACATTGTCTGTAGGGGCCCTTGGTGTTGGAATATTGGAACATTCGGCAAAGGACTGTTGTTAAATCCTATCCTTTATCTGCAATGGTCCCATCCACTTGGGTTTGGAAGTACAATGTATGGCTTGTATTGCTATGAAAGGTGTGAGAGTTCTGTAATTTTTGCCTTCAATGGGAATGCATGAGAAGGAAATAATACTTAAATTGCATACTGATGTAGCATTTTCTTTGGCTTTCATCTTCTGGAGGTCATCATTAATTGTTGATCTCCATTAGTAATGTGCTGACGTCTTGCTCGTTTCATGCAGCTAATCTGCCTTTATTGGGTACATTATTAGGAATCAGTTTGTGATGCATATTTGATCTCATGGACATTATTGTAATTGTATGAACCTTGCATTTGTCCTCCACTTCATCATCATTTATCTCCCACAAACCGCCCCCCCCCAAAAAAATTACTTAACATGTACTAAGCAGCCTATCACACATAAGAATCACAGAAGCCTTTGCCTGCTGGTTTACAGTCTAATGAGATGGAGAAAGGAATGAAGAGGTTATATTAATGTAGAGCCAAGGATAAAATCAGGATGAAATAGAAACCAAGCTATCCTATCCACAACTTCACAAGAAGAAATGTAGTGCAAAAAACAAGAAAGAAAATGTTTTTAAAAGCAATGATAATAATAATTAAGGTGAAAGAATATTCCACAGTTGTGGTGCTGGAACTGAAGACATATATGAAAACAAGAAAAGGATATTTTAAAAGTACTGAGAGAATGTAGAGGAATCAAAGCACAGGCTGTATATTATGTAAAGCATTTACAATCACAATACCATAGCCTCCAACATTTCTCATATGAAAATAGGGACATTCATAATAATAATGGTATTATTTAAACCCTGCCTATCTGACTGGGTTGCCCCAGCCAGTCTGGGCAGCTTATATAAAAACAGTAGAATATTAAACAATATAAAACTTCCCTGTACAGGGCTGCCTTTAGATGTCTTCTAAAGGTTGTATAGTTACGTATAGTTACTTATTTCCTTGGCTCAGGGGTCGCCTAACTCCATACCCTCCAACATTTCTCTGTTGAAATTAGGGACGTGCCGTGATCAAATCAGAAACCAAGACGGATTCTGTAAATCCGGGACTGTCCCTGGAAAACAGAGATACCTGGAGATTCATGTTTACACAGAAGTAAGATTCACAGTGTTCACAGGAGCTTACTCCCCAATAAGCATGTTTAGGAATACCATCTTAGCGGCTTCTAGTTTTGTTTTATTTTTAAAGAGGAAACTAAACCTTATATGAGATGATAATGGAATCCAGCAAAAAAGATGAATGGGTGGGGAAATTGACAGGGTCAAAATGATGAGCACAAGCCGAGACTAAGCATTAGGAGCAAGTAATATTTTCTTCCTCACCTCGCTTGTCCCCTACTCCTTGTTTTTTATATGCTAAGTGTGCTCCATGGAAATTAAAGGCAGCTAATTTTCTTAGGTTTACACCCCATTTTAGGGAAATATTTCAGATGTAATCTGGGTTACCTTTGCCTTGCTTCCACCTAACTTCATGTATTCATCTCTCAGAAAGCACCTGGGAGTGTTTCATCTGTGCTTTTGCCAATCACCATCCTCAGACAAGAAATTGCAACGTGGAAAGGTTTTAATATGTTTCTACTAGTGAGAATTCAGCTGAACCTAACTGTATCACAGCCTGGCTTCACCTGCCTATACTGCACAGAGTTATGAGTGTATATGTTTTTATGAGGTGAATAGTCCTCCATTTTAATAGCTGGGAATTCACCTTTCCAGCCAGTTCAGTGAAATTCAGATGCAAATTTACATCCACATTGACTTCAGAAGCAAAGTCTGTGTCAGTACATAGATCTCACTTGCTTGATCAAGCTCTGCCTATTGTTCTAAGCAATTAAATCGTCCTTTGTTCTGGATATGCATGTCAAAGGTAGTGGCACAAATCCTTTTGGTTTTTTTTTTTTTAAAAAAAAGACTGAGTCAGATTGATAGAGCTATTATAGTTGATCTATTTAAGAGCAAGGACAAAAAGTGTTGTTAAAATTCACAGATTTCTTCCTGTCCATGGTGGCCTTAGAAAAATAGGTCTGGGAGTGTTCTTAACCAGTTCCTTCCCCTCCAGACTAAACTTTGTATTATAGAAAAAATATCCAACAGGGTTCAACTTTAAATCCAACCGCCCTGGTTAGAGTTAGTTTTTCTGTGATCTTCCCACTCTCCAGGGTATGTTTTTAAACAAATAAGAATTCCTTTTTGAAGTGTGTTTAGAGAACTGCATTTTCATATTTATTTTTTAAAGTAAGGATGTAACATTCCTGGTTTAATAAATCATAGTTTATTAAAACAGCAAGGAGGCCTGCGTGCTCTCCTTTCCTCCTATATGTGTTGGCTTCACTTCTTGGATTCGTTAAACCAGTTTCCTTTTATCATCCAAAATGGGGGACTGTAGCTTGATGGTGGTTTACTAATTAGGATCTGAAGCTACAGGTTAATCATGGTTCCGATCCTGTTCAGCAAACTGGCATTAAATCACACTTTTGCTATTTGTGATGCAGTGGGAAACTGTAGTTTATAGGACCAGGATGAAAGTGCTGATGCTAACAAGGGAAGGGAAGAGAGAGGGAGCATGTGAGCCCTATGCTTGTTCCTGGCTTAATAAGCTATGGATTAATAAACATTACATCCAAATTGACCCCATGCAATATATTTGTTTCAAGTGATTGAGTTCACTTGCTGCACGAAAGATTGATAAGTACTATATGTAAAATTTTCTCTGCAAGATGGAAGGGATTTTCAATTTAATTCATTTTGAAAAGTCGAGCATACAGGTTTGATTCATCTGGTATTTAAATATTGTGGGTATGCTTAAGCAGTTGTCAGATTCACACTGCCAATAAAGGATACTTTAGAAGGAAAATATGTGTATACTGGCAGTCAGCTCCAGTATCTCCAGGAAGACACCTCACACTGGGATACAATGTTTGTTTTTATGTTCCTTTACCTTCCAGCCCATTTAATGACAAGGAAGTGGAACAAAGTACATCAGCATGCAAATTCTAAACAAATCTGACTCCACATGCAAAGCCTGCCTTGCTTGCCTAGTCTTGCCAACACAGAAGAGAAAATGACACCTCTCAATGTCTTTTCTGTTTTGTTTCTGTGCAGTGGAACCGGGTTTAGTTACCAGCTCTCCCTGCCACTCTTTGGCAGAATAATTAGAATGAAAGCAAGGACTGCATGAAGAAATGGTTAGGCAGAAAGGAAAGGGCAGATGCTCCTGTCCTTATGTGTGCTACATTAAATGTGTAAAATTTCTTAATTCATTTAAATAAAATAACAATACCAGTTCTTTCCTGAAATTGACATACCTGTTTCAGGCCTTGCAGAATTTGTGACCTAGCAAGCCAAACTTGGGTAGGAGCCCTGTTCACAATTTTTTTAAAAAAAGGAAGGCAACAAAATCAGGAAGTTTTCTGAGCCAACTGGGGAAACTTTCAGGCTGCAAACAAAAGTTTGCAGGCAAAATAGCAGGCACACCCCTCTCTCAACTTTGCCATGCTTAACAATTTAACTGCCCATCTCTCCCTAAAAATGCATTTCCCTGAAACAAAAGAACTGCCTTGAACGTAGGAAGCTGTGTTACACCAACTACTTTATACCATTGATCCATCTAGTTCCCTATTGCTTGCACTGAATGTGAGAGTTGAAGGCTGAACCCTCCTGTTGCTTTTGTGTTCTCTCTTCCTATTTAGTGTCTTGGCTTGGAATCGCCTTCCGTCATGCCTTTGCTGAATGATACTGCAGAGTTTCTCCTGACTCTAGACCCTGCAGGGATGAAACTAGGCTTTATTTCACCTGGATCAAAGACTCAGTTTAGCTCCCCACCCCCATGCGCATTTGTGTACACACACACACACACACACAGAGAGAGAGAGAGAGAGAGAGAGCCTGGAAAGAAGAAGAAGAAGAAAAGTTTGGATTTGATATTCCGCTTTATTACTACCCTAAGGAGTCTCAAAGCGGCTAACATTCTCCTTTCCCTTCCTCCCCCACAACAAACACTCTGTGAGGTGAGTGGGGCTGAGAGACTTCAGAGAAGTGTGACTAGCCCAAGGTCACCCAGCAGCTGCATGTGGAGGAGCGGGGAATCGAACCCGGTTCACCAGATTACGAGTCTACCGCTCTTAACCACTACACCACACTGGCTCTCAGTGGCACACCTCTGGAGGCTTTACCCGGGGCAAAAAAACTGGCTAGCCCTCCTGTAGCTATGGCTCTGGGCCCTGCACACAGCTTTTCTATATCTCTGCTTTCCATATATTGTCTCCACTACCCTGCCTCCAACTGTGTCACCTCTGCTACTCTTTCCCTCAGACATCTGCTTCTTCCCCTTTTCCCTTCAGATCCCATGTAGAAACACATGACGTTATCTCATACTGAGTCAGAACATCTGCATCAGTATTTTGTAAACTGACTAGCTGCGACTCTCCAGGGTTTCAGGCAGATCATCTCCCAGCCCTATCAGAGGAACCCAGTAACCACCTGCTTGCAAAGCAGGTGCTATGGCCCTTCCCCCAAAGTGTCTTGGGAGCTTTCTGTCTTCAACTTACCACTTAGCCTCCTAGCCTACTGTGTCCCTGATCACCTAGTATTACACAGTTACCCCTGTCCATAGATCTCCTGCTCTCTGAGCCAAAACACTCTCTTCTCAAGGAAGCAGCAGCACACTCTGCTGCTGGCATCTTTTGTCTTAGTAGTTAGAATATTTAAGAGCATTCCGTAGCATCACAGTAACTCAGACTGTGGCATTTGCGGTGGATGGGAAGTTTTTAGTACAGTGGTACCTCTGGTTACGTACGTAATTCATTCCGGAGGTCTGTTCTTAACCTGAAACTGTTCTTAACCTGAAGCACCACTTTAGCTAATGGGGCCTCTCACTTCTGCCTTGCTGGCACCATGCGATTTCTGTTCTCAACCTGAAGCAAAGTTCTTAACCCGAGGTACTATTTCTGGGTTAGCGGAGTCTATAATCTGAAGCGTATGTAACCTGAAGCGTATGTAACCCGAGGTACCACTGTATCGCTGTTTTATATTGCAATTTAGTGGCTTATTTTGTGCCTGAGGTAAACACACACAGAGACATGCAAACATGAACTGCTAGTATATCAATTTGGTTTTCTGAGAGCAAAGAATCAGTAGTTGTTAGCTGTATGAGGGCATTCACACATAAAGAGGGAAAACGTGTTCTCCCTAGCAGAGAGCACGTGTTGCGGTGGGGGATACAAGCCACCCCATTGTTGCTGGGCGGATTTGTGGAGGGATCCAGGCAGTGAATTGGTTAATCGGGTCACTGGGGAGAACTGCTTGTTGCCAATTTTGAAGGAGGGGTCAGAGGTTTTAAATACTGGTCGCCCAACTTTGAGCATTCTCTTGGCTGCTTGCACCGGATCACCCACCCACCCTCCCTGTATTGGGCTGGTTGTTCGCTTGACCTTGCTATGCCTGTCATGGGGTCGTCTGCTTTGAGGCAGGGGCCTGGTAGGAATTTGTCCATTTGGCTGATTGGCTGGTGCCATTTGGTTTTGCCTGCTGCGTAGCAAATTGTCACAACTTGTAAGGTTGGCGGTTAGGCATTGGTTCAAATTGGTTGGTGGAGGGGTAAGTGCCTACCCCTCCAATGGTGGTGTGGAAAGGGAATTCCGTTAAAGAAATCCAGGGGCTTGCCATTCTTTTCGTCCTTGTCCCTGGCATCGGACTTGGGCCGTGCAAGCCACCAGGAGCATGAGGGTGAGAAGTGAGGGACTGAGGCCCAGCTTCATTTTCTCCCCAAAATTTGTTTCCCGCACTGGCTTTCGCTGGAATCCGGAAGTCCAGTACTGTCCCCTGGGCAAGGACAGATAGTTGGAACCAATGCCTAAGCAACCACTCACTTGGATGTATTTAAATAAAGTTGTGGCCAAAATCGTGCCAAAAACCCAAACCAAAATTGATGTGTGATGTGTGAGTTATTGGGGGGTGGCTTGGGGACCTCGACACGCAAACGAAGGAATGAACTAAACTATTTTCTACTTGTCTGATTCATGTAATCTAATTTCTTCATAGGAGCAGCCCCAGTCTTGCCCAGCAGTTTGTGTGTGTAAACATGTGAGATCTACCAGATCACAATTCACATGACAGTGGTGGCCATTTCCCCATCTATTACAGTTATTGGAACTGTAGCTGCTAACTAGATCCAATGATATATTGGGTCACTAGTTTCTCCAAGTTAGAGCATGGCCATCATTCCTTGAGCAGTTTCTCTCCCCAAAATGTACTGTGAGAATTGGCTTTTAGATGCCTGTAAGTTTCAAAAATGTGCTTAAATTCTTTCAAATTTAACATAAGATGACTGATTCTTTCTCGGGAATTACCTAAAATAGCAACTGTTGTCTTTGTATGTGTGTGGGGGGGGGGGACAACAACCCTTCTGCCTTATTTAATGTCCAATAAAAATATTGGAAAGTCGAAGGCTCTCTTGGACCTGAAATCTGTGATATTATTTTTCTCTGTTTGGAGTCACTGCAAATTCCTTAATCACTGAAGCCAGCACTGTTCAAGGAAAGCCCTTAGGAATGCATTTACCGGTAATCTCTTGCAATGAGACTTCCCAAATGCTGTTCATTTTAAATCAGTATGGCATATGTTTCAGGAGGCTATTCAATTGTTCATAGGTACCTTCTTTGTTAGGGAGTTTGGCTTTGACATATTCCCTATGGCAAGAACATGGGGTGGGGGGAAGCAAAGTATTTTGGAGAGGATCTCTTTCAATATTACTACATGGTAAAGTCTAGTTTATTTGATTTTTTTTATTAGTATTCAAAACAAGCCCATTATTAATTGTTTAAGAATTACTCTCTAAACAAGTACATAGGCTATTTTTTAAATTTTTTATTGCTCTTAAAGTGCAGAGATCCAGCTGTCTTGGTTGTTAAAAATTGTTTACTCGGATGTGTGAATAAAAATAATGCCTTTAGATTACATATAATGGCAAGTGAAAGCATAGAGGCAGGAAACTATAATATCTGAACTTGTTTTAACTATATTAATATTTTATATATAATAAGTCCAGGGGCAATTCAGTGGCCTAGTGCAGGGATGTCCAACAGGTCGATCATGTGGTGTTCCTGGTCGATCCTGGTGGATTGTGTGATCCTGATAGATCGCCCACCAACAAAAAACAAAAAATAAGAAAGCTCAACAACTTTGCTGAAACCTCCCCAGAAGAAGCTCAACAACTGTGGGCGTTCCTCCCCAAGAAAAGCTCAACAAATTGGATTATTCTTCCCCCCAAAAAGCTCTCCCTGGTCTAGTGGAACCACGCCTGCATCACAACTGAAGAAGCATCCTTTCTGATTCACGTGGTATTAGTGATAGCTTGCTAATTCTTACCAAAATGACATGAAGCTAAACTATGGTCTAGTTCTGTCCCTACCTGATAAGACATAAAAGCAATGTGAAGTTTGAAATGCTTGTGATGGGTAGCATATCCCTAATGTGTTTGTGTCTTGGGATAATTTTTACATGTGATCCTGCTCTTGTGTCCCAGTTGAGGATTAGGTGTATTACCTATTGGGTAATAAGTATATTGAAACATGTGTTTTGTGGGCTTGTTGTCTGATTTCATTGAATGGATCTATCTCTATGGTTTTATCTTAAAGCACAGTTGGGGAACCTGTGGCATTCCAGATGTTGTTGGACTACAATTTCCATCTTCCCTGACCATTCTGAGTGGGACTTCTGGTATCCAGCTGCATCTGTTGGGCTACAGGTTCCCCATCCCTCTTTTAAAGTGATGCCTGATAAGTCTTTGGGTTTACCAAAATAATCTTAATATTTCTGGATATCTCTAGGTGACCCCATGAATGGGAAATTCATCTCTCTCTGAAATGAGAAAGGAAGGTTCTGGCTGAAGGTCAAGCACCTTGGATACCTGAATCAGGATAGTGGGTCTGCTGCCTTGTTTTGCTCAGCTGATTCTGAGCTTGTTCGTTTGTCAGTGAAGCAAATATTAAAGGCACACACTGTTCCATTCATACTAAAGACACCAATAGTACAATCTTACACATGTCTACTCAGAAGTGAGTACTATTGAGTTCAGTGGGTTTATTCCCAGGAAAGTGAACAGAGGATTGCAGATAAACCTGGTAACACAATAAATTGTTGTGGAGAATTCATTCTGTTGTGGCAAATGTACCCAAGGCATACTAAATCAACTCTTGGGTTCTAATTTTAGCCCCTTTTATGCATTTTCAGATATTCAATTAACAGAAAACCTTTCAGTTTAACAAATTAAGGGCTTTCCATGTTCACATAAAAATGCTGGGAGATTAAGTCTGAGCAGATGTGTTTGTTTATTTATGAATGGGAGTATTTATAGACTATCTCTCTATCAGGGGAGTGTACGACAAAATTTGCGAAGTATAAAAACCCTATAAACAGAAATATAGAATAATCATAAAAATGACTGGCTCATCTTAAACAGATGAAACCACTGAATAGAGATGTTGACATGAAGGACTTATGCACATCACTATTCACTTTGGCTCCAGTTTGCTCCCATTGCTGGATTTTGAATCCGTGTACATACAACGCTACCCATGATGCAGAGCTATCCAGTTGTTTCTTGAAAAATAATGCTGTTTTCCCTCAAACATCCAATCCAAAAGGAAAATGCAAGACACATTCACTTTGCAGTTCAGCTGAGGTGCGTACATTTGAGAAAGTCATTGTACATGCTTCTAAAACAGCAACGATTTCCCAAAGCATGCGGTGCAAAAGAAGAGATCTTTCTGGAAAAACCACCCTAGATAATTCAATGGAAGAAGAAGAAAGCACAGCACTGACTGAAATGCCAGTGTCTTGTCTAATGTTTAACTGTTGTTCAAAATAATCCATTTGAAGCCTTTCTGCTTCAAATTCAGTATGGAGCCATCCTCAAGTCTACCTCTTCTATATTGCAGAGTTTCATATCAGTCTGTTTTCAACCATTTTTCTAACTTAGAAGACATAGAACCTACTCTGCAGGATTTTTCAGTACTGTATAAGAATGGACTGACTCACCCTTAACAGAAGGCCATGACTGTGGCTCCATAGGGAATATGATTGTGAAGGGCAGACCCATGTCTTTTCAATGTAAAATGAGAAGCGGCTCTTAGATACCCTTTATAAGAGTAATTTCTTTCTGTTGAAAGTTATGCTAAGAAACTGAAGTGTAGGAAACTCTTACCTAACAGTAGGAGATGGGGGGGGGGGGGGAGAAAGCTAAGCTTTAACTACAGTGCTAACTTTTCAAAAAATATATATGTGACCTAAAGATAAATCACTTTTGATTACCTGTAATAAGGAACAAAAGGGCCACCTATAGCATGATGTTATGGCACACACAAGGGAAATTTCCACTATTGGCTTTTAACCTTTGTTTTATTAGGATAGCTCTGTAACTCTGGTAGGAGACACAATAGCATTTACTGCTTTCAAGTAGACTTTAGCTGCTGCACCTGAAATGAGAGAGAAAACACAAACCAAAAAAAGACTGGAGCAATATAGATGTTATCAACAAAATACAATTATAAAAACAACATTTTCACCCCAGTAGTTTGATCACATGATATGGGCATGATTCAACTGAAGTTAATCAGTTGTAGGTAGAATTCATTTCAGAACATATAAAACTCCATTTACTGAGTCAGGCCATTGGTTCATCTAGGTTTGTATTTCCACCCTGACTGGCGGTGGATCTCCAGGTTTCCAGGTGTGAAGTCTCTTTCCATGCCTACCTGGGAGATGCCAGGAATTGAATCTCAGACTTTCTGCATGCAGAGAAGATGCTCTACCACTGAGCTGCCACACTTCACAGGGAAAGAGCTGTTGTTGTTGTTTAGTTGTTTAGTCGTGTCCGACTCTTCATGACCCCATGGACCAGAGCACGCCAGGCACTCCTGTCTTCCACTGCCTCCTGCAGTTTGGTCAAACTCATGCTGGTAGCTTCGAGAACACTGTCCAACCATCTCATCCTCTGTCGTCCCCTTCTCCTTGTGCCCTCCATCTTTCCCAACATCAGGGTCTTTTCCATGGAGTCTTCTCTTCTCATGAGGTGGCCAGAGTATTGGAGTCTCAGCTTCAGGATCTGTCCTTCCAGTGAGCACTCAGGGCTGATTTCCTTAAGAATGGATAGGTTTGATCTTCTTGCAGTCCATGGGACTCTCAAGAGTCTCCTCCAGCACCATAATTCAAAAGCATCAATTCTTCAGCGATCAGCTTTCTTTATGGTCCAGCTCTCACTTAGGGAAAGAGCTATGCAGGTGCTTAACAGAGCAATTCCATATGGCAGTTAAACTGGGGGTGGACATAAGCTGCTACTACTGTGCTGATGGTTTGGCCTCCATTTGCAGCATATGATTAGCCAAGAGTGGGGAGGAAAGTGGCAGAAAGAAAAACAATAGACCTCTTCCTTCAACAGATCTCCTTACCGTATCTTCCAAGCAGTTATCAAACTGGTCTCCTTTTCTTCCCTTCCACTTCTGCTGTCGTTTCCGTTCATTCAGAATCATGTTCCACCTTTCCATTATAGATGTCCTCAAGGCTATTTACACATTCATCTGAAAATAGTGTAACTACTACTACTTCATCATATAATATTATAATAAACGAACTCAAAATTAATTAGCAACATAAAAATGCTGTAAATAAAAGTTAAAAAGTTAAATATTCAGTCAAAGAGACTTAGGTTGAGAACTAAAAGACAGTAATGAGACTGTGAGGTAGATAAGTTTTGGGAAAGGAATTCAACAACAAAAGAGTAATCATGGGGAAAGGCCACCTCAACAATAGCTGCCCACATCACCTCTGAAGGTGGAGGAACCTTCAAAATGGCCTTGGAAGATTTCAGTTCATCCTGAAGATTCCTTTGTCCCAGGCCATTAGGCCTTTATAGATCAAAACCAGTCCAAAACGAGAAAACAAGGTAGAAGCCAGTAAATGTCTCTTAAATACTGAGGAATTATGTTCTTCCTGGGGAATAAACTCTACCTGGTTTTGGAATGTCACTCAGACCTCTGGCTTTTTTGCAGAGGATGGACTGACCCTGCATTGTAACTGGAGAGAGGATAATATCTGATGTGGCAGTCTTGATAAATCATTTAGGCAGATGTCATGCAGAGAAAGTGAAAGAAGTACATACTCCTTGTTTTCCTTGGCTTGCTTACGGTATTAAAATAAGGGTTTCCTGAGCCTTCTTTGACCTGACCCAAGGACAAAGACATGAAATTATGGGAATATCAAATCCTTTTCTTGAATTTTAATAGTACATTCTAGTGCTATTAAAACAGACTCACAAGCAAAAAGCAGAACCATTTTGATACCAAGGTTCTCTGACAAGAACAGCTGGTTTCTAAACTAACAGTCATTCACTATCTTATTTCCAATAGTTTGAAGCTGTTCTTTAGTCTCGATTCCCCCCCCCCCCTCCTGAAATTCAATGGGAAAGTATGGTGGTCAAGGGTAACTTTTAAGGCTGATGAAATAGGAGAAAAGATGGTTTGATCTTTTCCATTGCAAAAGGTTAAAGGCACCCTTGCTGGGAAGTTATTCAACACAAATCCCTATTGAAAGGAATTTAATCTGCCTAAAATCTTATCTCACTCCTGTTTCTTTGACAGTGAACTCATCAGTGGAAGATTGTGCACAAAAGTTTCCTACAGATCTTGATCAGAATGATTTCAATACTCTGTATATATTTAGCTAAATAGTAAATTATAATGGTAAACTCTAATAGATTGCGGAATAATGCTGAATTAAAGAAGATAATGCCCAGTCAAAAGTTTAATGTGGGATAACAATAGATTCTGGTAAGACTTTTTGTTGTTTCATCTTTGTAGCTGTTACAACTGATTACGTCTTCAGCAATCAATTTAGCATGTACTTTCGGCTCAGCGCCTGGCTGACAGTAGTTTATCGTTTGTAACTGACATGTTCAAGTTCACATCGGACTTCTTCAAAGATGTATCTGCCACGGTAGGTGAGGAGAGCATTGTGGATATTATACTTATGTTTTGATAGGCGATTGCACTGCAAAGTTTTGATCAAAGTGGAGTCTTGACACTGAGATGAAAGCACTTGCTAAAAAGGGAGAGGGATCATCAAACCGGGAACTCTTGCCAGTGTTCACTTTTGAGCTTTAAAGGCAAGTGACAGGTTCTTAGAGCAGTGGTCGGTTCATTGGTGGACTCTGCATGTCTTTTGCAGAGTTCAGCCACCTCTGTGCAGAGTGCGTTTTTGAAAGGGTAGCAAATGACAAAGAAGGGCTCTGCTGCTTTCAGTTTCACACGCAAAAGCAAAAATGCATGTTTTATCCCCGGTCTCCAAAGGGACCTGAACTTACTTCAGATGATAAGAGTCCTGAACCCAGGACAATGTCTCCTGCCATGGTTTCTCCATTGCAATTGCTGCTTTGTGCCCAGAAACCTTGCAGAAGCTTTCAGAGACATTCAACTTCCTTAGAGCCAGATTGTGCAGAGCCAGTCATCTCTGTGAATATGAAAGAGATTTGGCTGTTTTTGAATTGTGCATTATGGACATAGGGCAAATCTGGTAGAGCCACTAACTCTTGTGTCTGATACTGCCTGAATTAACATTTTGCTGACCTTTCTCTTATTGGTTCCTGGATGAGAATTGTGTTTCCCCCCTCTCCCCATGTAAAGTGTCCCCTTAGAGCAGGGATGCAAAAGCTTTCTCAGCTGAAGGGCCACATTCACTGCTAAGCAACATTCCAGGGGCCACTTGCCAGCAGTGAAGGGAGCTAGAAGTGAAAGAGGAAGGGCAGTGAATGCACATTTAGCTTTGTACAGGAGGCTAGTTCCTACACACACCCCTCTCAATTTTTTCAAACCCTCCAAGTGTCACTATTCCATCCCGGACAGTTTGATCCCAGAATGCCCCACTTTTCCTTAGGGCATTCCTATTGACATCGGAGAAATATTGACCCCTGAGCCAAAGAGACTAGTAACTATACAACCCTTAGAAGACATCTGAAGGCAGCCCTGCATAGGAAAGTTTTTAATGTTTTATTATGTTTTTATATATGTTAGAAGTCACCCAGAGTGGCTGGGGCAACCAAGACATATAGGTGGGGTAGTAGTAACAACAACAACAACAACAACAACAACAACAACAACAACAATTGAATAGGACATCCCTATTTTCATTGGAGAAATGGTGGAGGGCATGTCCTTCATCCAGGAAAACAAGAGGCATTCTGGGAGGTCAAGGACACAAGCCATGCAAAAACACTCAAAAGGTGTGGTGGTGGAAAAGACAGAGGCCTAAAGGACCACACTTGGTCCCTGGACTTGAGGTACCCCTCCCCTACCTTACAGCACCTACAATTCAGGTGTTCCACCAGCTGGTAAAAAAACCCCCCAAAAACTTCCTTGTTCATGCAGACATTCCTGAACACTGATTCTTGGTACTACTGAACTCTGGATATTGGTTTTCATGGTTTATTGTGATTTTATTGTATTGGTTTTGTTTTGTAAACCCCCTTGTGATTTTTACTGGTCTATAAATGATTTCAGTTGTACACTCAGTAGGCTGAGCAGCAATTTCCACACTTGTGTGTTTCTTCCTCTGTGCATGCAGTGTCTTTTGGACTGAGGGATAGGAGGATGTGACAAAGGATTGCCTTATTTTCACATCTGCCTTGGCGTGATACATATATGTATAATACGTGCAACTGAAGTTCTGTGAAGCCCATATAATATTTTTAATTTCTTCCAAAGGGAGCTTCTTTCTTTCATTGTTAATTTTCTCTTTATAGTCTGGGAGCGTGATATGACTGATGGTAGATGAGTGCAATATGTTTATAAATTGGAGAGGTGGACTGTTACTTCTAGGAGCCCTTAGCATTTGTTTACCTATGCACATAATTTATTTACCACATGAAATATTTAACAAATGGAGAGAGTTTCATATATACAGCAAGCTGATGTATGAACATTATATAATTGTGTGTTGGCTAGAAATAGGACCTAATGTGGGAGTTTGATTAGAAACATGACTATGTCCTCATTTGAACTCAGTACCATGGCAACCATCAACAGATGTTAAGGCACACTTTAATTGTTTTGTGGAGCAATTGTCTTCATTGTGTGCCTAATCTTCTGGCACACACTTATTCCTGGCTTCTGTTCTTTAGCAGTTGCTTTTACCTGTTACAATTGAGTAAATGCCTGTAATATGTGAAGCTGAGATTGGCCCCAAATGCCTGAGTTGTGTGTACAGAAAGAAGAAAGCCTTGTATTTGTATCACATTTTGCTGTTACTTTATTTACTTAAAGTATTTATAAACATTCCTTCACCCACGATCCCAGGGTGGAAATGCATGCGCTTGACAACAAAGCTGAAACCCATAAAATTTAAAGCAACATAAAACAAAACACAAAATGCCAATTATGAAGGAAACCAGCAGAAGTGAGGATTAATATACATCCTCCTCCCCTTCGTGGTTCAAGGAACAAATAGGTATGCAAGGAGAATTCTCTGGATGCCTAAATCCAAGTTTGGGGCAAGTACTCTTTGGGGAGAGAATCAAAACAGATTTAAAATCAGAAAATATGCAGCAAAGCATGGAAATATCAGCTATTAGACCCTTGAAATATCTCTTTTATGAGTTCCAAAACTTCCCACTTCTGACAGCATAGGAAAAGACCAAATGTTGGTAAGTTAAAATTGGTTTACCTGCAAACTCTTCAAAGGTCAGGTTCACGAGCTTTTCTAAACGTCAGTCAAAAAAAGTCACACAGGTGGTAAAACTTGGCTTAGTTACAAATGGGGAAAGTTGCTAAATTATTGCTATATGAACAGACAGCATTTGCATGTTCAGTGGAACTATCCTATACTGAATCATAACATTGACTTGCCTACCTCAGTATTGTCTACTCTGATTGGCAGTAGCTCTCTATGGTTCCAAACTAGGAACACTTCGAGCCCTATCTGGGGATTGAACCCAGAGACTTTCTGCATGCAATGATGATGTCTACCATCAGGGGCATAGCTAGCCACTCCAGCACCCGGGGTGGTGGGGGTGGGACAGTCTGAGTATGAGGGCAGCTGCCCACAGAATCCACCTAGCAGACGCAAGCCCCACACTGCCGTTTTGGGCAGCGTGGGGGCCCGAGCCACCATGTCACTCCCAGGAGAGCTGCGTGGCTTGGGCGTGCTGCAGGCCAGGCCCCACGGTAACTGCCACCCCATGCGGTGTGCCATTTTTTCACCCCCTCAGGGATAACACCTGGGGCAGACCACACACTCCGCACCCGCTTCCTACACCCCTGTCTACCACTGAGCTACAGCCCTTCCCTGTGTAGTTGTCTTCCGCTCCACCCATACTCAAATGACTCACTGCTGGGCACTTGATCATCAATGTGTTCATATTTTTGTTATACCATACATATTATCTAGCTAGTCACTTCATGCATGTTCTTAGGATGATCTAGGTGAGATGCTCCTCTGGATACCACAAGGAGATGTCACATAGCCTGTAGTTTTTTTAATC